TGCATTAAATATCGTGGAGTGATCTTGGGTAATAAATTGCAGTGGATGCGCAATGTTGAAAAAAAAAACGAAAAGGGTTAACAACGATCTATTCGAGGCCTATCGACTGCGCTGATACATTTATGGTATACAGTACTGGTTAAAAGCAGAACTATTTAGTCTACTGCTTCCAGCACTTTCAATTCCTTTCGAAGAATATAAATTAGAACTATGTTTCCCACCCAAATGGCTAAAATCAAACTATCTAGGAATGGGTAATCTTTATTTTTTTATGTTCTTTACCTTTTTTGAAGGATCTAACATCATCTCATATGCTTATCACTGTATATTGCCTGCATACAAAAGTATGTGCATCCTTTGACAAATTCAGTGCGTAAAAAGATTGCTCGTATTTTCCACACGAAGAGAAAGGCATGAAAAACCTTATAGCGCTGCTATTCAGATTAATTAAATAAAAGAAAAACGCTTTCTAGGACACCATAAATGCCATGAATGATGTTCACTTTACCAGAGGCACGCTTTAGAGCTCTTGCAACAAAGCATTATTTTTTCATTCATTTATGTATAAGGCCATCAAAAATGCTAATGTGAAAAATAATAGTCGCTTTATTTTATTTAAATGCGAAGATAAGCAAAAAAAACAAAAAAATAAAATCAACCAAGCACAACACACGCAAGCAGAGCAAGTGGAATGTAAGCACTTTGACAAGCAGACTGACAAAAAAAAAAAACGCAAAACAACAAAATCGGATTTGTGTACACGCACCGTCGGTGGTAGGAAAATACATACATACATATGTATATACGTATCTACGTACGTATATCTAACCTAATATGTATATGGAAGAGATTTGCATACATAGATACATACGGACACACACATACTTACATATGTTCTGAGGAAATTGTTTAAGGTATGAAAAAAAGTCAATGGCACTCATACGCCGTGGCTTCCAACACAAAGGAAGAGCTCTAATCATAATAAAGCAAATGAATAACAGTTGCTTTGATATGAAATATGTGTGTTTATATATTTGCTATGCACACATCGTTAAGTTAAAATGTGTACTTACATACTTTAAAGCTGTATCCAAAATTTTTGTTTCCTTACAGATTGATTGTATTTTATATGTTAGTGATGATTTTTCAAATAAAGTAGGTTTATGGCAAGTACTTGACCGACTTTTTGTATTTAGGGAAAAATATTTACAGTAGCGTAAAATTTTTAGTCTCGTATTGACATCCGTAACATAGAACAAATAGCATCTCAAAGTATGCTTTGTTCCTAGTTCTAAATGTATTAAGTGTAGCCCCACTCAAGTGAGCTAGTCGGCGCCTATCGTGAGCATTACATTCACAGTGAATGCGTTCCGGCGTTTCTTCGTCCAGCTCACAAAAGCGACAGATGTTTGTTTCTGAGAGATAAATTTTTCTAAGTTGATTGCGAAGGGGGAGCAGTGTTCCGTGTGGTACTCAGTGACTGTTTTGAGGTGCTCTCTACCTTAGTTGAGTTATTTCTTTGAAGCTTATTTTGAAGCACAGATAAATCGTTTGGCTTGTCTCTAGCCTGGAAATTCCATCCAATGCCTGTTGAAGATTTGAGGGCCAGTAAATCTGATTGAATCTCCGACATAATGCGGATGTATTTCTATAATGTGCCCCTTCTATGACTTTCTTTGCTACAAATTTCTATTGCATGGATCTTCGCTTGAAAGGTGGTGCGGAAGCTATCTATTGGTATCGAGTTTTTGAAGTTCGACCCAAATATGTCAGCCCCAATTTTACCATTTAACACTTAAGTATAAGAACAAGTCTAAGCGTGAATAGGAGTAATTCTACTGACTCAATTATTTTAAAGGTATGAGGACTACTCGAAAAATCTCTGCTAACAAATAAGTAGTAAAACGCTTGCGTGCCAGTTTCCCAGGCAAAATAAATGTGTAAGAAATAGGAACAATTTTAAATACTTATAAAAAATTAGTGGACATCCATACTTCCTGAAGCAAAATAAATAAGGTAGAGATTTAAAATAAAAACAAATGAAAAGACTGCACCGCCTCAAATCAAATGGAAAAAGGAAAAATTTCTAACCAAGGCAAATATGCCATTTTAATGAGCGGTGCGCCCACAACCACAAGCAAGCGACCAGCATAGTAAAGGCAACCGCAACACCTGTACATATGGATATTACGCCGCACTCAAACTGACCACACTATTCACGAACCAACTAAAATCGGCTGACAGCAAACTCCTAGCGGTTGTGGTCTGTTTGAGTGCTCGAAAGCCTCTTAATATCCTTTACAGTACAAACATAAGCGTAGGAGTACGTATTTCTATATGTATGCCCTGTCGCTGTGCTGTGCTCAGCTATGCATCACAACACTCGCGTCTCGCGCTTTAATGAAATATTAAACTTTATTGCCTGCGTGCCTGTCAACAACTTTACATTACATCGCCGTGTGAGGTTTGTTCTGCACTGTGTGTATGTATGTGTGTGCTTGTGCGGTGTCACAGGGCAGGTTGACCACATGCGTGCAGACACTCTGATATCATCAGCTCAGCTCTGCGACTACAAACTCACCTACTCATTCATAACAGGTTCATCGTTATCTCTGTGCACCATCTAGATTTGAACGTGTGTGTTTGTATGAGTGTTGACCGCTACCTGCAGCCACTCAAAGGCTACCTTTTGGCCACCTGGTAGGTGTAGCTTTAGGTATGTCTAATTTTATCTTTCTGCTCTCAAAATATATATTCCTCACATACTGGCGATAGGTGTAGCTTATTGAAGCAGCGCAGAGGCATTCGGGCGCCAGTTTTCGCGCCATTCTAGCCACTACTTAATGATCGTAACTGTGCTTAACTACTGCTATCAACGCCATAAGGTACAGTGGTGCTTAGAATGAGAAACGGATTAATAATGCTTTAATTACATTTGGCTAAGAAGAAAGCCACAAGGTGATGAAATCTGTTTTACAATTTCTAGTGGGTTCACCAACAAATCTTCTCTTCAAGAAGTATGCGTGTCAGAGTGTTCTAAATCTACATGACCTGAGATTTGGGAAAGCATTTTGTGTTGCATCGGCGACCATCCTATTTGCGAAACATAAGCTGCATTTTTGGGCTGTTCCGGGAAAAGATCCTTGTTCTTTCATAAAAGTTGGATGGGCATAAAATATTGGGGCATATTCTTGTTTTCGTACGAATCGAAGTTGAAATTTTCCTATCATTTTCTATAAAAAAAATTTTAAATTTTCGATTTGTATGCAAACAAAAATTTGCCTCATTATTTCTAATAAGAAAAAAATAAAGAAAAATTTGGATTGATCGGGCATGATTTTGATCCTAAGGACTAATAAGGGTTAATTCATCGAAAAGTTTTTTTATTTCTATGTATCTTTTTGGATATCTATGGACCACGTGAAAAGTTTACGATAATTCTGAAAATTAAGTCATGAAGAAGGTAATTGGCCTCGTAAAATTTTATATAAGCATTGAAGTCGTTTTTTTTTGCTTAAAGATATCTCGTTATTTAAATGAATTAATATAAAAAAAAATAAAAGTGTCGAAATTTTTAATGGGACTACCAACTACCTAACCCAGGCATGCTCAGCCTAAATGCGTCAGCGAGCTCAAATTCTAAATCATCTATTTTACATTCAGTTTTATGAAAGGTGATTGTCATTAAAAATTCAAGTTTTTTTTTTAGGAAAAAATCCAAAAGAGCTGCGGATTACAAAGTAAGGGGTGTGGGGTTTTCAAATATTGCCTAGATACTTCTATAATGAAGGTAACAAGATTCGAAGTCAAACTAAAGTTTTTAGTTTACTAAAAATATGCGGGGTCGAAATAGTTAAGTGTGATCAGGATATTGGTATACTGTTCTATAGATATTATTGGAGGTTTTGCTTTTGTGTAGGAAAATTTTGATTTTGTAAAATAAAAATCCTTCAACCATCTGCAGATTTAGATGTGAAAGTATTCAAGTGTTCAAGGGTTAAAAAGGAAAATTTGACAGCATTATTTCACCAGCTACTCTGCGAATTTGTTTTAGAGCTTTAAATGTTTTCAGTGCAAAATTTTATGAATTAACTTCATCATTTACATACATACATATATGTACGTATATTCACATTGACTAAGTATGAACACAAAAGCCACTTTATCACCAACGGCTTATCGCAGCACATTTCTTCCTGAGGCATTCATTTCAACAGTTCACTGTGTGTATTCTCTCCCACATTCTGGACGGCACAACTCAATTCAAATTATTTTTGCAAATGAATGTCGTCGCTATGCGAGTAGAGTATATCAACCGAGAACAAGCGCTTTCAGCAAATATGCCGCTGTGCGTGACTGCTCCTTTTGTACCTGCGCTCATAAACTCACTCATAAAGCTAAAGGTATGCGCGTCCATATACACATACACATACATATACATACACATGACTATCACAGCGGACATTTGGTGATGGGGTCACGCATTTGCGTTTTATTGTGTCGCCAATGGGCAGCTGATGGCCAAAAAGGTGATAGTCACAGGGAACAAACAATCCTAGCAGACCACAAATTAAGCAAAAAAAAAGTAGCAAAAAATGCGAAAAAAACGCACAAATGAAGGCGTTTCGAACGGCACCCGCAGGCAATGTGTGACACAAAGGTGCACCCAAACAAACAAACCACACACACACACACACACAAATGCACGGCGCGGCATGGTCGAACAGCCGCAAACTCTCACACACATACCCGTAGAGTTCTCACGCGTTTATCACTTCGCCAGCACTCATACGACCTGGTGACCCCCATACACCCAACCACAGCTGCTGGCCACACACTGAGTCGTCTTGGTCGCACACCTGTTTGTTTGCCTACAAAAAAAGTTTTTTTGTTTTGTTTTGGGAGTGTATCCACATACATACAAACATATGTATGGATGTATGTACATATCGTGTATTTAAGCGTATCATAAAAACTTTAATTGTCTCAGTTAAACTCACCGATAATGAGCAGTTTTATGGCTACTCGGCTGGTGGCACATCCGCTGCACCACGTTGTCGACATTTTGGCTCCTCCTCTGCGGTTAATTTCTATGCAATGCTATGCGTTGTGTCGTATGTGTCCTTATTTGCCGAAAATTATTGCTACCGCTGGCGATTTGTTCAAAGCTGCTGGCAACTGTTTTCACTGCTATTTCTTGGTGGTTTTTGTTTTTACTATTTTTGTTTTAGTTTTTTTTTTTTTTTGTCGTGCACGTTCTGCCGTTTCTTGGGTGGCAAGTTGTTTATGGCCTAGCCGGGGTCTTTTGCAATTTACCTTTTCTTTTGTGATTATCGCTTTCGTTTATGCTCCACACGCTGTGGTTGGCCAGCTGGCTTTGAGATCGCGGTCATTGATATGATGTAGGCCTTTTGGCGCTGCTTTCTGCAGAGTTTGTGGGTTTTTTTTGGTGACAGCTTGATTAGTTTGTACACAAAAATATTTTTATTTTGCTTTTATATATTTTTCCATCTATTTCTAAATGCAAATATATGTTTATATTAGATTAAGCATAAAGAGCGCTCTAGGGGCAGTATTTTCATTTCATTTGATCACTTTTTATTTCGTTCTTATTTTACAAAAAGCTTGGCGCTAGCAATTTTTAAGCTAATTTTTTGCAAATTGTTGTAGGTAGATTTTTTGCCAAATTCCTGGTATGTGTTATACGCTGCTTGGGTTTAGCAAATTTTTTGTATGACACAAAAGGAAATTTTTGAATATTTCAATTCACTTTATTAATTTTTTTTTGGATTTCCATCACAATTTCATAGAAATTTCCCGGGAAATAAAGTTCAGTTGTTTTTTCTGAAAGCAAAAATATAAAATTGTTAGGCAAGTACATACATAAGATAAAAAAATGACTTAGTGATTTGAAATGCAATTGATATCTACAATAAATATATATATTTTTTTTTGCTTAGACAAATGCACAGCTTTGTTTAAGAATAAACCGAAATTATGCCGGTTCTGATCAACACGACGAACAGAACACTTTAAGATAGTTGGTTAAATTTTCATATACAAAGCCAGGTAGGCCATAGGCCTGGGCTATTCATTCAGGGGACTACCAAAACCCCAATAGGAACTAGTAATGCGGCCCACTGCATTCCTCTACCGAATCAATTCCGCGCTAAGTGGAAACCAAAAGAAAGTTAAGTTCCGTATTGCTCTTGAGAATTTTTAGTCTTCTTGGCAAAAGCTAATGTAAATTTTCCGACGGTGGCAGATAGGAACCCGCGTGTCAAACCAACCAATTGAAAAATAACAAAAGTCAGCAATAAGAACAAATAGGAGGACTGTGCTCTCTTCGGATTTTCCGATTTCCACATTCCTTCTGTGAAAACATATCAGAAAATTTAACTTTAATCTGTATTATTAAATTTTTAATCAGCATGTGAGTTACAGATTATTAGGGTGTTCGATTTTTCGCCTTTTTTCGCCTTTTACTGGACACCTAATTTTTTATAATTGAGTGAATTTTGCAAATCTGATGTCATTAACAAAAAAATGCCTTAACGTATTAAATGCAGGGTAGTAATTTTATAAAGGTGGCAACACTACTAAAAAAATAACAGCTTATTGGACATCCGGAGACCACCACATCCTTACACTTGCTACCTAATTTTTTAGTCCAACGAACGGTGAAGATCCTAAAATTGTTAAAAGGTGGCAACCCCATTAAAAAAATAGGACATTAATGAACACCTAAAGGCTAAGCTCTTCCATCTGACATTTCACTTTTTGTAATTCAACGAAGGGATCTTATAATTTTTTAGACAGGTGGCAACCCGAAATAATCGATACAGAGTATTTTAAACAAAACCTCGTTCAAATCCATTCAGTAATTTTCGAGATTAGCGTTGGCAAAAAAATTTGATTTTGCTTTATAATATTTAAGGATAAGATAATCATTTTTAAATAGGTGGCAACTCTACCCAAAAATTAAAGTTTTTGTAAATTCGAAGACCATGCGCTTTCATTTGGTATCTCATTTGGTTATCCAACGAATGGTGAAGACTTTATAATTTTTAATCGGGTGGTTACCCTACTCAAACTCATAAATACTACATTTAGAGGTTAAGTATTTTCATTTGACAGTGATTGTACAGAACTGATACCTTGGCTCATTAAGTTTGAATATAGTAATTTTCTTAACAGTTGGCAACCCTATTAAAAAAAATAAAACATTAGTATTTTTCAGGAGGCTAATACCTTTCATCTGACACCTCACTTTTTGTAATCTAACGAACGGCGCGGATCTTGTAATTTTTTCCGACAGGTGGCAATCGTATAGAGATTCCAAATACCAGGAGCAAAACGGACCTTGGATTCCTGTTCAGCGCATCACAACAGATATGAAAATGATAGTCTGATAAATCGTTTAATCACTCAAACCAAATCCAGGAGCTCACGCTATAAAAAGGCTTTGACAAAACCGCTTATCCAAAAGTATGAGCAAGAAATAGAATTTACACAAAGATGCTTAATAAAGCTAAACATTTTTGAAAGAGTCGATTTAAGTATTCAAGCTTGATTAGGTTAATTCGTAAGTTGAGGATCCATGGCCAGCGGCTTAGTGTTAATATTCACAAAGGTTCAGCTAAAATTTCTTTGTACTGTCGGTTCAAAAAGAAAGGAGGCGAGGTTTTTGATGAAAGATTCTGCTATTTCTTTTTATCATTCGCTTATTCTATCGGCAGGCTAGGAAGCTATAACTAACACATTCCAATTTCGCTCAATCGCTCATGATTTCAAAAAATTCTACCCACTCAAAACGCTTTAAATCGTCGCGAATACTATGAAGAAGGCCAGCGGAAAGTATCAAACCGATTTCACTTGGGATTTGGAATGGTTGAAATTCTCTTCCTAAAAGTTCCGCGAAAATTTTCAATTAAAGTGTGTAATCAATGTGCAGTTCGTTTTCAGTGCTGGCAGAGACAAACATGTTTATTTATCAATTAAATTTTACTTGTATGCTAATGTAAAAGAAGTTGATATAAATATCTCGAGAAATGTCATTAAAAAGTCGCCTCTTTTCTTGTTGAGCAGACTGTATTTGGAAGTTTTTTTTTTGAGCTTTTCAAAAACCTGACGGGCTGACAAGAAATGTACCACATATATATCCTTAAACCCAACATTTGACTTTAATTTTTTATTTTTTTGTCTCTAGCTTCAACTTTTTCAACCGAACTAGGTTTGGCATCTCTTCCCGAGCCGAGACCTGTTCGGTAAACAAAATAATATCTAAGTCATTTGCAACGAGTCTATTCTCTATATCCATCCTCTGTTAATAAATTTTACTTCCCTAAGGCTTAATTTATTTAAGTTTCATACTGAAATTGCGTAAATTGCACTTTGATGCGCATTCCAGTTTTTTTTTTTAAATTTATTTATGCTTCTATGGAATTTCATACACTATTTGTGTTTTTTAAATAAAAAAAATACTTAAGCAGGCCATATGAACATACATAGCTAGCACATATACTCGCCTAAAAATGCATAAAAGTACTCCCGTATGTTTTTAAAACAGACCTGCCGTTTTTTTTCGCAAGGCTTTCCCAGAAATTCATTTATCTTCAAAGTAATTTTTTTGCCAATCTCTTTTATAAAATTTGCTCTCAATAGCGTCATTATAACACTCATTAACTTCATTTAACAAATTTTTTCCGCCCAGTTTGTGCTCGTCAGAAGAATTTTTTCAATCAATTTGTTTTTAATAAAATTTATTAAATTTGTAAATTTTTTTCGCAGCTGCTTGCTCATCTACTGGTCGTTTGAGGGAGTTGCTTTCAATGTTTTTTTTTTTTTAATTTGGCCACTTTTTAATGCATTTTCATATATAATTCATTTGCGGCACTCAATCAAAGCACTTCAACTCTACTCAGTACAATACGAACAGGCGTTTTTTTTTGTTTTTTTGCATTTTTTTTTGCCTTTATTTTCATTCGTTTCACGCTATTCGTTTTTTATGGTTGCCTCTTTTGTTTTGTTTTGTTAGTCTTCTCCCCGTTTTTGCACAGCATTGATTCATTCAATTTGTCACCTGCCATGATCATTATGTTCAATTATAATGCCGATTTCAGCTGGATAGTTAATGCATTGCATAGCGCGGCGCCGCTGGAAGTGCTACACGCACACATTATCGCTTGGAATTAGCGAAAACTTCCCTGTAGGGAAGACACGAACTAGTGAACCAAATTTCTAGTTCTGTACTAGTTCTTTTTCGCCAAAAACTAACCAGTCCGATAGTAACTAGTTCCGCACCAGCCCAAAAGCAGGAAATGTGGTACTTTCACAAAACTATTTTACTTTCAATTTTTAAAGCAGGGACGGTAAGCATGATGAGTAAATTAATTAAAATCAGCATCTAATTACTAATTTATGATTTTTATTTTCTCGCTAAAAACAATTATTATTATTGAGTTTGGTTTTTTCGATTACAAATAATGATTTTTATTTTTTCGCTCAGAGATAATTATTGATTTCGAGTTTTATTTTTCCACTTAAAAATAATGATAATTTACAAAAGGCCATACAGACGCAACCTATTGAAAATTTACCCTTAAAGTTTGGGACTTATTCCTTAAAAAATAAAACCCAAATATTAATTATTATTTTTAATCTCTATTGGTTAAAGTCGTAAAATAAAAATCATTGTAAATTATAGCAGGACGTACTATCAGAAATACGTTAGTGTAGTTAAAATTAAATTTAAAAATTTTTATTTTGAACTTTATTATTTTTATTTCGCACCCTTTCCATTCGCAAAGAATAAAAAAAATCATTAACAATATTGCGGAATTTTCATTTTAAATCTCGCCAGTGTCGTTATTATTTCCGAAATGGAAACTGGCAGTACTTTTTCTAAACTACTTAACCCAAAATTCGCTGTTGTTCGCCACCCGTAAATATTTCAATAGAGAACCACGCTTTCAAAATAAAGGAGGGTTGTTGGGGTAGGCGAGCCGGCTACAACTTAATCTAAAACCCTCGCCGTCAGGAGGCTTAAAGTTTTTGAGTAATTTGTTGTTAACTCCTTACCGGGTGAGCCGCCATTCAAAAAATTAACCCTCACCAGTCCAGTTCGGAACTATAGAAAGAGGGATGCAGAGCGAACTAGATCACATCTGTCGAATTTGGAACTAGTTCGGAACTATAGAAAAAGGGATGCGACGGGGGACAATTGACACTTTCTAGGACATCGCAATGTTGGATTCGCCAGTCGCTAGCATGCAGAAGAGAATTAACGCGTACTAGCCACGGTTCGTTTTCCTACAGGGTTATTGCATTAAGCATGTGTGTGTATGTATATCTATGTACTAGTCATTTACGTACATATGTATGTGCATTTGTTTGTTCTTGTGGTAATGTGTAAATTTTTATTAATATCGTAAATGACCACATGCAATTGAGCTGCACTGTGATTTAAATAAATGAATACAATA